TGCAAATGACAACGACCCTTGGGAGTTATCTAGGGTTCATAGAACCACAGTTACATACATAACTAGGATTTACAGTATTTCATTCCTTCTACCACCAGGGATGATGAGACTCATCTGGATTTGTATTCTACAATGTCATGAGGAATTGACATTGAAGGGACAACTTTAATGTTTTAGAACCTGGTAAAGGTTCATGATGATGCCCTGGTAGCTGCAGCACAAAGGGCCAGGGGCAGCAAGCCTCTATGTAATGCTCATGATGAGGAGACACACTTCTTGTAGAGTAGCATGTCAGCCCAACTATAAGCCATGCTGATGATGTCCACCACCCACCACATGATCTGCTACCTCATTCTAATTCCCTGGATTTATAATCACAACCACCTGTTCACGATCAGCACAATCCTTAAATAACCACATTCTACTTAATGAGCCTTTCTGTTTGTGTACACATTTTCTGGTGTTGATCCTGGCTGTTTTGTTTATTGAGTTCTGCCTACCTTAAGTATTTGCTGATGGCCTGATAGTGTAGCTGTCTATTGTATTTGATTTTGGTTTGTCCTTTTGTATTTTGTCTGCTTTCTTCAATAAACCCTGTACTTGCATCAAAACTTATCTGTGCTTAATAGAAGCACTTATGGAGCCAGTGGGTTTTGATGAAGTTTGTCACACATTTTACTGCACAGGGAAGAGACATGGGGAAACAACAGCTAGCCAGCATTCATGGATTGCTCAATGCGCTCTCCAGTTGAGTACCACAGCTAACTTCCCCCTCTTTTTGCAGGAACACTCAGAACAAGCCCATCCATCCATTATCCACCTAAACAATTCAACAGTGATCCTGCAAAATTTCTTACTGCAGTGCTCCTTGTATTTCTCTGCCCAAGAGTTCACCTCTGATTATAATAATATTGCACAGCTGATTTCTCTACTCACAGATAAAGCACTCACCTGGGCTATGCCATGTTGTCTCAAATATGGGAGATACTCCAATTTTTATGATTGGTTTGTCAAATCCTTCAGGGGGAACACCTCCTCGCAGTTAAGCAATGGGTCAGAATCACCACTGTGTATGGCCTGGACTTTTCGACACTTGCAGTGGATGAAACAAGTGTGTTTCATTATGCACAATTCTGACTTTGAACATAGGCATATTTTTATTGCATAATATTGGCTTGACCAAGCAGCAGTGTAATGTCCACCAGCACTGTCTGACAGTTTGATGTAACCCCAATGTGTCACACTGAAATTCATGTGCACTTTATAAATACGCTTAAAAGATGCCAATGGAATGCCATTTGATGTCGATATTAAATACCTAGATAATAGATGATAACTTGATTGATAATTTTGTTCATTTAAAGCACACAGATTTTTTTTCACACTGAGACATCAGTGGAGATTTGATCATAATCAAGGATTCAAAGATTTAATCAAAATCACATATTTTTGAAGGATAGTTATATAAGTATGTATGTTATGTAAGTATAGTAAATGTGCTTGGTCAACTTATCCTTTAAATCATGGGCACATTATACACAAAATACACAATATATTAAAAACAAATTGCAAAATAATAGGATCCTCCGGATCAAGTGCCATTTTATAATTTGCCGAATAAGGAGGGTGTAAGGCATATTGTTAAATTAAACCAATTTTTAGTGATTAATATTACAATTATGACTATTCATGCACCAATATATTAACAAAATACTAAACTCAGATGCTTATTTGAATGCTTGGCATTTTCTCATCCATATATCATTGTGTAAGGCTTTTTTATTTGTTCATTTCGAATGTCTCATACTTTTATGTTCCTATTGCATTTGACAGTGATGAATAAAATTCTATCGGCATATTATACATTGCATATAAAATGCTTAAATTCAATTCAATTCAATTTTATTTGTATAGCACTTCTAACAATAGACAAATGGCTTTACAAAAATATGTAAATTAGGATATAAATTTTAAATGTATAAATTTATCCCTAACGAGCAAGCCAGAGGTGACAGTGGCAAGGAAAAACTCCCTGAGACGATATGAGGAAGAAACATTGAGAGGAACCAGACTCAAAAGGGAACCCATCCTCATCTGGGTGACAACAGATAGTGCAATTACAAATAACTCCCTTCTATAACTGTATACTACATGGTCAAAAAGTGCAATTGTGTAACCAGGAAGTCTATTTTGTTGAAGTTATCAACTGTTCACTGATGGAGACTTGAGTGCAAAACTGTTTGTGGGAATTGCAGTCTAAAGCCATCATAGCAAAACTGTTTGTATCAATTGAAGTCCAAAGCCATCTTCATATTTTCTAAGTGGTACCATCCACAGTAATCTCATGTAACTTTAGGCTGTCCTTATGGGGCCATCCTTAGCAGCTGTGAGTGATTTCCAAGTGATGAGAAATCCAGCCAGAAGTAGGGCATCAGGATGAATCAGGCAGGTCCAGAGATCAGAAGGGGTCAGGATCACTGGTATCTCAGGAGTAGCATGCGTAGCTCGAAAGAGGAAGTTTGTGTGAGAGAGAGAGTGAGAGAGAGAGAGAGAGAGAGAGAGGGAGGGAGAGAGAGAGATTGTTAGGTATGTACATTGTGTGCAGAGTACAAGCAGGGACTCTGTCAAGATTAGCTATGACAGCATAACTAAAAGGGAGAGCTAGAAAGTAACACAGACATGAGGGTGCCATGGGACATAAAGCGGCCAGCCAGTCCACCATCAACAAACCTGAGTGAACGCATGAGAGTGGGGGGGGGGGGCATGTAGGTGATTTGTATAATTTGAATGGCACACCCTGAAAATGAACTTCAGTGGCTGCATAACCTGACTGAAAACAATTACCTTTCTTTGCATAATTATTCATACAATATAACTTGGGGATTTACTTACCAACTTAATTTGCCAACTCCTAATGGGGGTCCTAATGACCCCCATAACAGGTACAAAAAAGAGACTAAATGTACCCTGCCTGGATTAGGATTACCAGGACCCACCCCTGGAGCCAGGGGTGGTGTGTGTGAGCAAGCGTCTGATGATCAGGCCACTTTTGTAACCCAGGCTGACTCAGCCTGAAATGGTGATACTGAGCTATCTTGTGGGCGCAAGATTCAGGATTCAAGATTCAAAGAACATTATTAATCCCAGGGGGAAATTGCTTTGCCATGTTACAATTGCTCTCAAAAAGAAAGAAAGAAAGAAAGAAAGAAGAAAATAAAATAAATATATACCTATTTTATAAATATATATACCTAAATTTGTATTGCACATGAAAGTCCCTTATTGCACATGAATTGAG